AGGGGTATTCAGAAAGGAATATGTGCACCTACTTCTCCTTTCATTAGCTTGAGAAAGGATTTCATCTTTATTTCCAAGTGATTTTCTTTCCCCACTGGATGTGGGAGTACAGCTCCCTCCCTGGAGCACGGATGCCCCTCATTCAGCTGCTTCCTCCCAGCATAGCCTTGCAACTCCCAACCATCATTAGAAAGCCCCAGGGAGCCACCACGCTCCAAGAAGGAGAGGGAAGAGTCCCCCCACCCGTCAAACAGACCTGGGGGTGGGAGGAGTGGGGTGGAAAGAATGAGAGAATGTAAACTGCTCTGCAGAAGGGAGGGGAGAAATGTGATCAGTGGTATTTGTTGTGCTTCCAAGGAGGAAGGATCCTTCACATTTTTAATAATAATAAATACATGAGGACAGATTTGCCAGCATTGCTCTGGCTCCTTGGGAAGTGTGGGGGAGGGGAGCCAATGCAGCTGCAGCAAAGACCGGTACCTCCCCTCCCCTCCCCCACTAGATAGGCTCAGTACTGCAGCAGCCTCCCCCGCCCCTCCCCCCCAGTCCTCACCATCACAGCCCACCCCTTCCACGATCCCTTCACACAGCCCTGCCTCTCCCTCCTCTGCTTCTCCCCCTCTCTCTACTCCCCCCAACTCTAGACTCGATTCTTTCAGCACTGGTGCTCATTTAATAGTCTTACCCCAACTCTCAGAAGCCCCAGCACCCACACACTACTCCCTCAATCCTGAGGCCCCTCCCTCTTTCCTACCACTCGCTTCACAGCTGACAGCAATCTCCCCACTCCAATACCCTCACAGAAGTGATCCAGTACCTATCAGCATTTCCTAAATTCCAATAAAAAGGATTGCATTCCCCCCATTTTTACCTCAGCCTCCTTCCTCACAACCTTAAATATAACGGCCATCAAATGTGCTTGTGTTCAGGGGGTGCCAGGGCCTCCAGACTAGGTGACTACTGCCACCTATTGACCCAAATTTGTTCAAGATAGACCTTTAATACACTTCTTACACAGTGATGCTGTTATTTCAAAAGCATCAATAGCTTAAACATGCAAAGGCATGGCTCTTGGGGTTTCTCTGAGACCCTCTGAACAATGAGATCAAAGAAATACAAAAGCAAGACTGGGCAGAGAGCCAGCACAATGATGCCTCCCTCCATGCAGAGGCGAAAGAGGCTGAGCCCAAGGAATGAAAAAGCAACTTTAAGTCTTCTCAAGGGTCTGTAACCAAAGAAGAGTAGGAGACAGTTTTTCCTCAATGACTGTTAAAACCCTGTGCATCACAATATGAGTGATGTTACCAATAGAGCAGAAGGCAGGATTTCACTCATTTGATTCTGTTAAGTTGGCCAAACCATTGGGTAAGTCTACACATGAATCTGAGGTTTATACAACTAACAGACCCCCAGGAAGGATGGGGACACTTGGGACTACTGTTTACATTCACTCAAATCCGTACCAATCAGAAATGGAGCCTGGAAAGCTAAACTGAGCTCTGCAAAAGGGCAGGTCTACACATACAGCTCAACTCATTAGTTTAGCTGTGTACTTTCACCAACCTAAAAAGAGGAATGAGCTTGAACTCTCCATGGTGCTGAAAAGGGACATAATCAGGCCATGCTTTCCTTATTAAGCAAAACATATCTTTCTAAAAAGGCATCCATGAAAACTACGTGAACTCCTGGCAGAAGTTTCTCCAAGCCTTCATAAAATCGTAACAAAAGCTTTAGAGGCAAAAACAGGTCTTGGTCAAACCCTCTTCCTTACCGCCCCCCCCCAGATGAAAATACCAAGGCAGAGATGCTAACTTACTCGTCCAGAACAAAGCCAAGACTCTTTATCATCATATGAAAAAACTGAACAGGTGCTCATGTGCACTAATGATAAACATTCTCATGACCACTGGGAAGGAATGATCTGTTGTTAGCACCGCACTGAGGAAATCTGACATTCATGTGGTCTGAACGATCATAACTGAATTTGTGAGCAGGACTGAGAAAGAAGGAAAATAATGGCCATAAAGAAACCCTCAAATCCTAAGTCTCAAGTCCCTTGCTCTGCTACCGTGCTCTTCAAACTACATTCTGTGGTATTCTAAAGGTTCCTTGGAGCTCCTCAGACATCTCGGGGAAAGAGGGCCATGAGAACATGGAGCTGTAGGACCCCTCATGCCCACTTCAACAAAAGTAACCTCCTGTATGCCTGTTTTACACACTGAAAATTCATGTAACACTTTATCAACAATGTACTCTAAACATTGATGACTCTGGGGCAAATATTCTCAGATATTGTTCAACTTTTTGTTGGAAACCTCTTTCAAATAATGCCTGTCACCTGTGAGGGCAGGGACAACAAGATGTCCTGGGATTACAAGACTGAACTGAATTAATATAAGGTCCACAAAGGGAGGGAGGAATTTTTGTCTGTTCAGTTTACTGCTACACCAAGAGGCCAAAACAGTGTCTGGAACTTATGGTTTCCTTTTAGGCAAGTCCTGGAATAGAAATGAGCAGCAGGGAGGGGAGAGCTTGAGGTTATAAACTACCCACCAGTCTACGGCCATACCACCGTGAACGTGCCCGATCTCGTCTGATCTCGGAAGCTAAGCAGGGTCGGGCCTGGTTAGTACTTGGATGGGAGAACTACCCACCAATATTATTATTTTTTTAATTCTGAAGACTTTCATAACTCAGGACACTTGAGGTCCTCCATCCTCCATGTTGCACAAGCACTGGTAGTAACCTTGGCCAAATAACCTGAGTCTCAGTTTCCTCATTAATAATATAGAGATGACATATATTTTATAAGGATTAAGTGTAAAGCACTTAGCTCAGTATGTAACACAAAGTAAGAGCTTACAAAAATTTTTAAAAGGAATCTCCTTTCTGTTGGCAGTTCTTAAAATCCAAAATTTTTTAATAAATTAGAAGCAAAAACAATAGTCCTAAGCAAATGTAGTAGTCCTAAAGCATTTTTTTTTACTGACCCTCTTGTTCAGTTAGTCCAGCCAGAAAGGCAAAAGAATCTCTAAGTCTGTTCTTGTGCCTCTTTGCTTGGTTTCATTCAAGGACACAGAAGTATGAGGGCCCTGGGCATGTCAGGCTCTCAGAGAACACGGAGCTGCCAGGGACTAATAGAGGACCCAGAAGGAAGGCATTTTGGTGTCATCCATGAGGAACAGCGTTAGGCTCTTTGGTTTGGACAGAATCTCAGAGATTGTCTAACACACATATTTTTCAGCTAAGAAAAATGAAAGACCAGAGATGTTAAGTGATTTGCCCAAGATCACAGTTAACAAAAAACATTACTAGGCTGTCTTCTAACAACTTTCTACCAGGATGCTGCTGAATGAAAACAGACCTCCACCCAATCAAGCAGACCAATAGATATCCAAATTCATAGGAATCACAACCAACAAGGTTTTAGTGAAGCAATGACCCAAATTATAACCCTCTTCATGACACTACCCAGGAAGGTCGGACTTCAAAATCAGGTATTCATGAGACCCCCAAGGCTTTAAACTCCAATGAATTAACTCTACAGATTCCTCAGCTTCTCTCTTCTCATCCCTCTTTTCACTTTCTGTATTATCCAAGGCCTGAGGGATCTCTCACTGACAGGCCATTCTCTGAAGAGAACAGAAGATCTCAGGTACATAACTCCCACCAGTCTCCAGACTTGGGAAGACATTTCTGTGAGAATTTCACTCTTTTGGTCTTTAAGCTAGGAACGTGCTTTCTGCCTGCTTGCTGGAATTCTTCTGCAAGCTGTTTCTAAAAGAGCTGGCCTTTACTGACTGGTAAACTGAAGCCTTAGTTGAAAGAAGGTCAGAGAGGCTAAAAAACACAAGATTAGACTGACTCTTTACACTCCAGTCTTCTCATTCATTCTACTACTCTCTGCAGATTAACTCTCAATAGGTAAGCTAAGATCAGTCCTGTGTTCATGCTATTTTAGAAAGAAAAAAAAAAGGCAGAGAAGTGGTGACAAGAGTTAACTTTCACTGATGAGGGAAGGTTCTAGCTTGCTTTGGATTAGTAAACACCAACTGAACTTTTCTGAACCACTAATGCCACCTGGTGGCCAGCAAGATTATAAAACTTAAAATCCACGTATTTCAGATTATCTGTATTATAACAAATCATATAGGAATTTGGGACAATGTGAATTGGAAGAGTTGATTATGCTACCCTAATCTCTCGTTGTTTTCTTTTTTGTTAAATAACCAATTTCTAGTTTCTATTATCCAAGAAAACTATATACAGCCAAACTTGTCCCACTTCTCCCAAAATCTCACCTTTCTTTCCCTTTCACCTAAAACACTCCCCACAAAGCAACTGAGTCACACATGTGCAAAAGGGCTTCAATTGGTAAGTACAATCAATTTTATTAATAAAGGTCTTTCCACACATCCAGAACAAACAATTAATAAATTCCAAGGGGGAAAAAAAACTGCATACAGTGAAACTAGAAGTATCCTGGGATGACAAAACAATATATAAATATGTACACCCATAATCACCGCCGCCTCCGAAAACCTGAAAGGAAGGGAAACCAAGAATGAGGCAAAGGACAGATGGGGAAACCGAAGGGACAGAACAAAAAGACATCCAGAGAGAAGGGCTCAGCAGGGGTGGGTCCCCTGTGCTCTACTCTGTAGACTTTTGTCTACTCCCAGGACAAAAGACTAGGGGTAGGAAGAAACTGAAATGGGATAATGGTTCCCTCAAGTGATACTTTTATAGCTCTACTTAAGGAAGCCTGAAGAGGAGTTATGGGACCTTAGAGAAAGAATCCAAAAATCTCTTGTGAATGATGCTGAGTTTGAGCTTGGGAAGGAAGAAAAATAAAAGCCCACCTCTAAAGATATTAATGCCCAACACGGAAGAGATATTATAGTGGCTGGTAAGACCCAGGATGGCAAATCCAAAGCTGACATCCCAATTCATACTCTCCACCATGCACTTGATCACCTAAGTCTGAGCCATTTACTGACCTTTTTTCTTCCGACCTTTCTTAGGTATCTTCTTCCGCTTTTTAACAGGATTCTGATCCTGTTAAGGAGAAAGAATAGAGAAAGATGGAGAAATGAAGGAATAGCAGTGCGCTTGCATGCTAGTATCCCTTCCCAAGTTCCCATGGTAAGAAGACCCGTGTACTTTTGGCTAAAAGCATGGAGGTCACCCTCTACCACTGTATCACAACCTCACCTCATCAAGATGAGGGGTTCCTCCTGTCAAAGCACTGATGTCACTGAAGTGCGTCAGAGAATGAAGTTGTGAGCTCATGACACTTGCTCGTTTTCTCCGTCCTTTCTCTCGCTTACTGACACTTAAACGCACCATCATGCTCTCCTCATAGTTAATCCTGCCAAAGAAAGAGAAACTTTCCAGCATGCTCAGTCCATAAGACACAAAGCTGCAGCCCAGAACCTGGGCCCAGACATTTACTCACCCCTTATTCAGACAGTTCTCAAGAAATTTCATAGCATGGCAATACAGTATCTAGTAAGGACATACCCAATGCTCACTACTGAGCTTCCTTAAGGAAATGTCCTTTGTGCTAGAACTTCCTCCTCCCCAGAGATGATAGCCCGAACACAGAAATTATTTAAACTATTATATCAGAAAATTCTTATATTTCAGATCCATAAACAGCATTAGCTACATGGGCCCTTTCACTTAAACCTGTCAACCGGGCAAAGTCAATGAGTTTGTATTCAAGTTATAATCACTTTTCTACTCCTCCCTCTTGAACTTACCTAGCACTCTCGGTGCCATTATACAGAATGTTAAAGTTCTACGAGGTGGAATGCCACGTATTTCTCTTCACACAGCATTTGCTAGGCCTAAACAAGTTGCAGTAGGGGGGGTAGATTTTTTCCCCTAGTTCTTACTCCGTACTTCAAACCCCTAATTCTTAGAAACTGCTCTGCCAAGCTTTCCACTCCATTTTCTATATAACGTGGGCTCTCTTGGTACCAGACTCAACCATATTCATCCAAAGCACAAGGACAGGTCTTTAGGGCCTAGAAAACAATGTCTAATTGCAAGGACTCAGACCTGTGTTGATCCTCCTGACTCTGGCGAGTAACATGAGGATGCCGGGCATCACGGATTTCCTCTGGAGCATCTGAGTACTGCTCCTTGAGTTCACGAATGACAGAGCTGCTCAATGCTCGCCTCTTGGCTCGTTCTAGATGCTTCTTTTCCCGCTCAGCCTCCGTTTCATCTACGTGGTAATAATTAGCAAGGGTTATCCCAGAACAGAGAAAAGGCGAAGAGAAACACGATTCACAAAGTGGGTAGTAGCCACAGTTCATACCATAATGTACTGGAACCAAGCGTGGTGGAACGTATTTCTTAACTGCTCCATTTGCAGATTTCTTCCCTAAAGCCCCAGACTGGCCTTTCTCTGCTTCATCTTCCTCATCCTCGGAGCTCAACTACAAAAAGAATATAATGTCTACAAACTTAGGAAGAATTAGTTGGATGGGTGATTAGAAACTCCAAAGCTGGTGCACCCTGGGGAGGCAGACATATAAACAAAAGGGAGAAGGGGGATTCTCACACTCAACACACTAAAGCTGGGATCAATAGTATAAGGGAATCCCAGGAGCAGCAGGATGACCACAGGCTCATTCAGACCTGGATTACTCAGGAAAGTCAGGGTAATGTGACCCCTTACCTTGCTCATCATACTGCTGGGATGAGGCTTAAAACGGAGTGGGTCATTCTCACCTGAAACATTAAAAAAAAAATTTTTTTTACAATATTTGGGACTTTATGATAGACCCAACATAACCTTACAGCTTCCCTCACTTACTGAGGCTGCCTGTCACTGCAGTCTTGACCAGTTTGTCAATTTGATACTTCAGTTTTTGGTCCAAGGGACGAAGTTTTTCTAAAACCTGTAACATGGTCAAAAAGGATCACACTCCCTTCCCAAAATTAAGTACATACCAGAGTCCTATATTAAGTCCTATATTAAGTTGCCAAATAAAGCACTTAAAATATGCACAAACTAGAACAAATGAAGAGAAAAAATAATATTTTTCATTTGGTTTCCTCACTTAAACATATTATCCACTTAAATGATAGCTATCGTGTGCTAGTCCTGGAGTTTAGGATTTGGGAACCTAGAACTCTAAGATGCCAAATAATTCACACCGTACGAATCTCCACCAGTCTCAGAACCGCAGCATGTCCCCGAAGAGACCCTCCTGAGGCTTTGTCCAGGATGAGATGGCTCAAATCCATCAGGTACATGAGCAGCAGCTGGTCTTTCACTTCTAAGAGGCTGAGACCCTGAGTTGAATAAAACAGTAAAAGATGCAAAGTCAGTTTTAGCCAAAGAATTGGGGGGAGAGCCTAGGATAAAGAGGGTAATTTTTTCCAAGTTCGAGTGTTTCCCAATCAATTCATATAAGGTATCTAGAAAAGTCTTAAGGCAGTGGCTGTACCTAAAATGGCCACAGAGAAATTATACTAACATGAGAGAAGCAAACCTCAGAGCACTACTGAAACACAATGAGCACAAGAAAATCAATAAAGCATTCCCCCAAATGACCACTGACAGATTTCTCAACCTCAGAGCTATTAACATTTGGGGAAACAGGTAATTTGTGGAGCGCTGCCCAGGCACTAGAGGATGTTCGGCAGTATGGATGGCCTCTCTTCACCGATGCCCCTCAAGTTGTGACAATCAAAAATGTCTTCAGAGTCCCAGTGTGACTTGTACCAGCCACGGAAGCCACTGGGACAAAAGCCACTTTGGGTTTTTCCATATAGTCCAACTGTTTGATTACTGAACACGTAGGAGATATCTGTTAATACTTTTCATGGCTCATGTAAATGTTACACTAAATGCCAAATATAGAAAGATGAGAAGGCAAAACTCAGATCATGATACTTCACAGGACAGAAATGATCCAGAGTGTTTTCACAATAAAGACTGTAAGACCTCACTGCCTTCCATTCACCTGCCTTTCCCTTTTCTTGGGAAAATTCTGCCTCGACTCAGAATCCGTGATTAAAGTACTGCCCCATCCCCAGTAGTCAACAAATGTCAATACTGACACTTCCTAGGAATGAGCCTTCCCAGTGCTTTGAGATCGTGCTACTCAATTAAAAGGTTTATCATCAATGTATCCTTCAGACTGATTTATGACCAAAAGAAAGAATTGTGGAGAAAAAAAGGTTCTATGAAAAGGAACCTCACAGGGTGATCTGATCATAAATTCCTAACTGGGTGGGTCATGATGGGTGGTCACAACGCAGGCCTGTAACTTTTTTAGTGAAAAGTTTTAAGGCAGCTCTGCCCACTATTCTTGTGCATTAAGGTTAACACACCTTTGACACATGAGAAATGGGACATTAACCCTCAAGACAGCACATAATCTTGTTAACTATCTTATAAAACAATCCCTGCCTCACTTTCTCCAATCTTCCTTATATCCCTTCCTTAATTACAAATGCATAGACGAAACTGCAAAACTGTTAATTCTTGAGAACATTTGAGATCTTATTCCATAGCTTATGTCATTAGTTTGGCTCAAATAAATTCTTTAAAAAAAGTTTTAAATGTCTCCATACACTGCTGAATTCTAAGCTAATTTAATCAAAATAATTATTGATTTTATCACCATACAATGGAATTATATGATATAGGTAAAAACAATGACTTATACATACTGACATAATGCCTATTGTACTAACTTAATTCCATGTCAACACTCTCTCTACATTATGTAGAAAATGTGTATAATAGTGTTTCAACTAAAGATGGGGGGTATGATGTACACACATTTTATATGTATGAAAATATGTCTAGAAAAATAAAACCCAATTAACAACTGCTATCTCTGGAGATCAAAATGAGAAAAAGGAATAAATGGAGTGCTTGTACTGTGAAGCTGTTTTTCCACCAAACATGTATTACTTTTACCTATTTTTTTAATTATTATTATTTTTAAAGATTTTATTTATTTCTCTTTAAAGAGGAAGGGAAGGAGAAAATGAGAGAAACATCAATGTGTGGTTGCCTCTTGTGAATCCCCTGCCGGGAATTGGCCTACAACCCAGGCATGTGCCCTGACTGGGAATCGAACCACAATCGTGTGCTTTGCAGGCCCGCGCTCAATCCACTGAGCGATGCCAGCCAGGGCATGTATTACTTTTATAATCAAAGAAATTTTCAAATAATGCACGACAGTGGTTATCTCAGAACAGTGATTATATTGGTTTTTAATTTTCTTCGTGTTTTTACATACCTTCCAAACTTCCTAAAATTAAAAAAGAAAAAACCTTGCTAAAATTAAACTTATTATATTTATAGGCATAATAGCAATAACCCCCGGCAACCAAAACACGTTCCCCCCCAGCCAGCCCGGGCAGGTAGGCCAAAGGGAGAACCTAAAAAAAAAAAAAAAAATACATTATAAAAAAAAATTAAGCAAATATTATTATGTAAATTTATTCTTTTAAGTAAAAGAAAGTAGTATGTATGAGCACTGACAAGTTTTATATATATATGTATATGTATATATATTTTATTTTTTTAAAGGATTCGCTGTTGCACAAAATGAAACTAAGAAAGTCCACAGACCTGGGAAGACCCATGTCAGATAGGCTGAATACTCTGCCCAAAATTATACAGTAGTAAGAGTAAAGCTGGGATTCAAACTCAGTCTTATACCTTAGGTATCAGACTCTAATACCTAAACCTCAGATATCTTTAAACCAATAAGATAAGCTCTTAAGATCAGTATTAGTGTAGAACAAGAGGATAAGCAAAGGAATTAAAAACAGACAAGTTAAGTTTTGAATTAGGTGTTAGTCACATATTGGGTAAGTTACTTAACCTTCTAAAATCAGTCTCCCCATCTGTATCATGAACAGTATTTCCTTCCCAAGTCAAAGAGTAATTATGAGGCCCAAATTAAGATAACATGAAAGCACTGTGTAACCTACAAAACACCTAGTAATCGCTAGCGAGTATCTGTTCAATGAAGAAACAAATATATAATGAACTAAGACACATGCTGGCAGCCTCTCTCAAAAAGACATTATAATGGAGCAAAGCATGGTACCTAGAATAAAGACAGCCAAGAATTTGAGAAGTAGGCTCTTCTGACATGCTTGGGCACTGTCAAGTACAAACTGGGTTAAAAGCCCATGAGAGAAATGCAAAGGAAGAAAAATCAGAGACTGGAAAAAAATCAGAAAATATAAAAATAGACAGGAACAAACTTTAATGATGAGAAAGAAAAGGCAAAGAGAATATATTTAAAATGCTATTAGCTCTAAAGCACAAAACTGCTTTCTAAAGCATAAATCCCATGATTAAAAATCCTTCAATGATTCTTATTATCCCAATGTCATGATTTTCATATTTTTGTTGACCTATGGAATGTTTTATTTATGGAATGTCTTGCTTAAATAACATCTTAGGACAAAAGCTCAATATATAAAACAGATAACACCAGATTTTCCAGTTCAAGCAAGTAGGAGAGATCCAGAACCTTCTCTCTGCTCCTGTTCTGACCATACTCAATGATCCTTGGGAAGGTTCTACAAAACCTTAATTTATAAACTACTATATTTCAATTTTACAATGCGCACTGTTGTCATATTTTCACACCTTTGAAGTCAGGATGCATCTTTTAATCAATGGTATCTTAGCATTATGTCACAGATTAATAGGCAGCATTTTTTCTTATTACTGTATGTAGAAAGTGAATGGTATGTCCTCAGTTAAGATCATCTCACATTAGATAAAACACAACAGTTAACTCCTCGGTTGACAAGACTTTTCAGACTTTTCCAGTCTTATTTCCTACCCCTAACACACGTATGCACACACATACAATGTAGATCCAACCACACTAAAGGACTTACCTCCTTTCCCAGAACATCACCATGCTTTCAGGCCCCTGTGCCTTCACACATCTGTTTCTTTCTGTACCTCTGATGCCTATTTATTCCACACAATCCTGTTACCTCTTCTGAGAAGTCTTCCCTGACTTCCTCTGCTTCTTTGACAATTATTTAATCTCTCTCCTTGGTTTGTGCAGTACAGTGACATAGATGCTACTGCTTATACCTACTCCTTTGATCTATCTTACTCACTAGACTTCAGCGCAGAAACTGGATTTTTTCCATCTTTAAAGCTTCAACACTTAGGACATACAGACACTCAATAAACCAATCATGAAAGAGCTATTGAGAACATCAAGTCAAGGGATGCTTACCCTTTATCTATGTCTTACCTTCTCTGTAGGATAAGCTCTAGCTTGAACTTTTTTTGTCAGAGCTTGAATGTGTGCAGTCACAGCCATTACCTGAAATTAGTCCAAATAAAACAGCTGACTAGAATACATCATGATCTCTGTGGGCTGTGAAGAACAAAAGCTTAACAATGCCACCTAAAAATTATCTTAAGCATCGTCCAATATACAACTCTATCTTCTTTTCAGTTCTGGGAAATAATAGGAGAGATGGTTTCCGATACTTCTTCAAAAGGCAGAAAAGACTTCCATCTACTCTTAAAGCTAAAGAAACCACCTTAGCAAACCCATGGGGAAGCAATGGGGACTGGGTCAGTGGTGATGGGTTGTAACTCCATCTGTACTCGTTAAACTTGCAATGCATAGAACTATATAAACGTCAATTAGCTGGGCATGCAAAGGGCAAATCACATCACCTTTTCTAGCGTCGGATTCCTTAGCTTTAAGATAAAGAAAATTGATTCAGATAATTTCTTTGAGTCTTCTGCATTCCTTTGAATGCAAAAATCAATTACTTTTCATTGTAACCTGAAAAGGTCTTCATCAAATCATTTTGTTTTTAATGGTATTGGTTAGCATTCAAATATATGCCCCCAAATCACCAAAGTTTGGAGGTTTGGCACACAAAGTCAAACCGTGATTAATCTATTCCAAAGAGGTGACGCTACTCACCTGCTCCTGGAGGTTTTTCAAAAGCGCCACAGAATTTGACAGGTCTGACTCCAGCACTTCCTACAGGAGGGAAAGTAAAGAAAAAAACATTCCTTCCTCAAGATTATGAGATGGAAGAGCTCCCACTTTCCTTCAGACACCCGACTTCCGGCCTCCCCACTCCTTTTCACAAAGCATCCTCGCCTCTCAGCGGGCCAGCCCCTCAAAGGATACTGAAGAGTAGGGGTAACTCTAGCCCCGTCTCCCTACTGCTGCTTTTGCCCGCGCTGTGCCAAGGAGGTTCAATAACTTGAACCTGTGCCAAAGAGGTTCAAGCCAATAACTTGCCTAAGCCACTTAGGGTAAGAAATCGTCCACGTTAGCAACTCGAGAAAGATAACATACCGCTTTCACTGGAGCCGCCATCTTCACAAAGCCCGCCTCTTCCGGAGCCGTACTTCCCGGTTCAGAGACTGATGAACAACCAGAGCTTCAAATCTAAGCCAATAGGAATAGAGGATCTCTCACTTCCGCCTCGAACAGGATGTATAAAAAAAAGGGACCAGATCCAGCCAATGGAATAAAAGACCTGGTTAAATCCGTCAGATTTAGGCTGAGACCTAAATGACGTAAAGATGCTCTGGGAAAGAAGCTTGTGATTAGTAAATTCAGTAGAATGATTGAAGCTAAACCAATAAAAACTGGGAAAATGATTGATTGACATTTACAGAGGCCCAATGGAGAAAAGGAGGTAGCAGAGGTAACTGAGAGCGTATTGGCTCCTGGATCCCGCATACCCAGTCTTTTCACGTGCTTCCCCTGCGGAGCCTGAACCGGCCTGTAGGTGGCAGGCCTTCGCGTAACTTTAAGAAAGTAGCCACGTTGTGCAGCTGCCCTCGGTGGCTGATGCTCCACCTCAGGCCGCGCGAGATTGCTCATAGACGCCAAGGCCCTTAGATGCAATTTTGTGACTGTAGTTCTGTGTGACCACAGAGGAGTCACGCAGTCAGTGAGCTTTGTTAATCTGCAAATAAGAGAATTGGGCCAGAGAAGCTCAGGGTTTAGACACAGAAAACCAGGACCCTCGCCCTCATTGAGCACACAGAGGGGCGCTACGGCGGGGGGGGGGGGGGGGGGGACCACCAGATGCTGCCCCAAAACTCCGCACTTCTACCAGTTTGGAGACATAGAAAGCGTGTACATTTTACAAAAAAGGAAGCCGTTTCAGATTTACGTGATTTGCCCCTGGTCATACAGGTTGGCAGCAGAACTTGGTTCAAACCCAGCCTGTGCATATTTCATTATGCCCTTTTTCAAATTTTCTCAATGCTCTCAAATGTGGCAGTCCACTCCTGCTTCTCACAGGTAAAGTAAGTTGAATGGGTGTTAATTGTTCCCCTCCTCTGCCTTAGAAAAAAAGCACTTCAAGGGCGAATGATGGTCTTGAATTCACCTCGCATGTGCACAGTGGACCTAGGACCAGAAATCAGCTCTTCTGATTTGGACAGGCCTTCTGGAATTAAGGAAGGACTAACCATATCTCAGCAGCCAGGATGAGGAAATCCTTGGTTTCTAAATCTTTTGCTGGACGCAGGAAGAAGGCAAGGGGTATCCAATCCTCATGCCTCTGCTTCTAACATTTGCTGCCTCAAGCCCAGCACGTAGGCTCAGGGTGCTTTAATAGTCAACAAACCGTTTTTGTAGCATTTGTCAGGATTTGTATTAGGAAAAGTTTCCATTTCAACATAAATTCTCTAATTAGGTCACAAATAGTCTTTTCCTTTCCTTGGAACTTGAAATTTAGTTTGTATCCATTATATCAATGACAAAACTACTTACACCGCCTTGTTTTGTTTTTGATTATTAAACACTTGCCAGCCATTTTGTTACAAGAAAATCTTGGAGTAACAATACAATAAGTCTTTGTAAAACTCTTCTAGGACCAATCAACAAAGGTTGGCAAAGCAAACAAGATCATAAACTGACAGTCATTCCTAACATTTGCACATATTGGGTTGGCCAAAAAGTCTGTATGGTTTTTCCATAAAATAAAAGACATTTTTTATTTTCACTGATAACTCTATTGATTTGGATATTTAGAGTATGTCAATTATCTCTGCATGGCATAACATTGACTGTTCTCAATTAATGTCTCAGTTTGATCATGATCAACTTCAACTTATCTGCCCGATCAACCATGGAGGAAGCATTTGTTCAGCGAGAAATCATCTCCAGCACAAAACTTCACAAACCACTTTTTTTTTAATTTTTAAATTTTAGAGATGGGGAAAGGAGGGAGAAGGAGAGGGAGAGAAACACCCCCACTGAGGACCAAACCCTCACCCCAGGTATGTACCCTGACTGGGAATCAAACTCAAAACCTTTCAGTTTGCAAGATGACACCCAACCAACTGAGCCACACCAGCCTGGGCTGGCAAACCACTTTTGACATGTTCAATCAGTCACAGCACCTTCTCCATACACTACATAAATCTTTTTTGTGTTTCACTTGCATTTTTACCTCTTGAAATAATAAACCATCATATGCTGAAAATGTCACTCATTTTCTTCCATCTCCACTATTAAAATGGCTACACAAAAATTCACCAGTCTGGTAAGTTTTTTTTTCAATGCATGCTGATATGACAGCTGTCCCAATACAATCTAACAAAATTGTTTTGAATCAAGTTAAAGACAACTAAGTGCTACTCAAGCTGCCTTATGGAAAAAAAACTAAATGAACTTTTTGGCCAACCCAATACATACTGAGTAAATTGTTTAACAGCTTTATCGAAATTTAATACACACACCATATAATTCACCCATTTAAAGCATATAATTCAATAATTTTTAGTATATTCACTGAGTTGTACAAATATCACAATTTTTAGAACAGTTTTATTATTTCCTAAAAGAATGTGCCCAACAGCAGTTACCTGCCGCCACTTATCCCTATGCAACCACTAATCATTGTGGTCCTATAGATTTGCTTATTTTGGGCATTTCACAAAAATGGAATCATATAATATGTGGCCTTTTGTGACTGGCACTTTCACTTAGCATAACATGGGTTTTTTTTTCAAAATTTTAAAAATTATTTATTTATTTATTTTTAGTAAAAAGAGAAAGGAAGGAGAAAGAGAGGGAGAGAAACATGTGCAAGATCAATCAGATGCCTCACACACACCCCCAACTGGTGACTTGGCCCGAAATACAGGCATGTGCCCTGACTGAGAATCGAACCTGGGACATTCCAGTTTGCAGACTAATGCTCAGCCCACTGAGCCATACTAGCCAGGGCAACATGATGTTTTCAAGGTTCATCTGTGCCATATTATAACTTTATCCCTTTTTATTGCTGAATAATATTTCATTGTGTGGATATGCCACATTTATTTATGGAATCATCAGTTAATGGACATTTGAGTTGTTTCCACTTTTTGGCTGTTGTAAATACTGCTATGAATATTTTATACAAGTTTTTATGGAGAGATATGTTTTCATTTCTCTTGGGTATATATACCTAGAAGTGTAGTTGCTGGGTCATGTTTTAACTCTGTTTAATCATTTGAGGAACTCGTAGACTGTTTTCCAAAGAGGACGCACCATTCTACATATCTACCATCAATGAGTGAGTGTTCCAATTTCTCTACATCTTTGCCAACACTTACTTCAATCTGCCTTCTTAATTATAGCCACCCTAGTGAGTATGATGTAGTATCTCATTATGATATTGATTTGCAATTCCCTAGTGGCTAATGATGTTGAGCAGCTTCTCATGTGCCTATGGGCCATTTGTATATCTTCTTTGAAGAAGTATCTATGCACATTATTTGTCCAATTTTAAGTGGGTTATTTGTCTTTTTATTATTGGTTGAAAGAATTCTTTGCGTATTCTGGATACAAGTCCTTTATCAAATACATGATTTGAAAATATTTTCTCCCATTCTGTGTGTTGTCCTTTAACTTACTCTATGCGTATCATTTGTACCATTTGAAGCACAAATATTTTTAATTTTGATGAAGTCTAACTTATCTAATTTTCCTTTGGTTGCTTGTGCTTTAAGTGTCATAGATGAGAAGCCATTGTTTTTTTCAAGATTATGAAGACTTATGTTTATGTTTTCTACTAAGAGTTTAGCTTTTACATTTAGGTATTTGATCCACATTGAGTTAATTTTTGTGTATGGTGTGATATAGGGGTCCACCTTCATTCTTTTTCATTTTAATATTCAGTTGTCCCTGCGCCATTTATCGTAAAAACTATTCTTTCCCCCATTGAATTGTCTCATACCCTTTTTGAAAATCAGTTGACCATAAATGTACAGGTTTATTTCTGGACTTTTAATTCTATTCCATTGATCTATCTATATGTCTGTCCTTATACCAGTACCATACTATCTTGATTACTGTACTTTATTACTGTAATAAGTTTTGAAATTGGGAAACGTGCACCCTGGCCGAGTATCTCAGTTAGTTAGAGCATTGTCCTGATCCACCAAGGTTGCAGGTTTGATCCCCAGTTGGAGTACATACAAGAATAACCAATGAATGCATAAATAAGTATAACAACAAATGTCTTTCTTTCTCTCCCTCCCTCCCTCCCTTCCTCTCTCTCTCTCTAAAATCAATCAATAAATACAAATTTTACAACATGAAATTGGGAAGTGTAGATCCTCCAAGATTGTTTGGCTGTTCTGTGTCCCTTGCATTTTCATATGAACTTTAGGATTAGTTTGTAAATTTCTGCAAAAAAGCCAACTGGAATTTTGATAGGGATTGTGTTGAATCTGCAGATCAATTTGAAGAGTATTGCCATATTACCAAAATTAAGCCTTCTGATTCAAGAGCATGAGATGTCTTTCTGTTTGTTTAAGTCTTTGAAAATGTCATTTAATAATATTTTCTAGTCTTCAGAGAGTAAGTTTTGCACTTCTCTTAAGTTTTATGTTTTTATTTTATATTGATTTCCAATGGCTGTTTTTACAAATTACCACAAACTTGGTGGTAATTTGTTGTCTCACTGTTCAGAAGACCAGAAGTCTGAGGTCACTTTCACTGGTCTGAAATCAGGGTGTTGGAAGGGCCATGCTCCCTCTGGAAGCTCAAGGGGATAGTCCATTCCTTGCCTCTTCCAAGCTGGTAACTCTAATACCTGCCTCCTTGGTCACACTGCTTCTTTTCTGTGTGTCAAATATCCTTTCTCTGCTTGTGTTTTATGAGGACACTTGTGTTTGGGGCCTTGCCTAGTAATTTTAAGGAGAGAATGGAAAAGAAAGGAGGAGACAGGATGTGTTGAAGGTGAAATCTACAGAATAATACAAATAATAGTAGGTCCCTTTCTCCTGAAACTCTTCCCACTTTTCATCTCTAATTCTCAGCTTCTCTGGGCATTTCTCTTCATTTCCTATCTGTGACAACAAATCTAGAATCCCCTGTAGAAATGAATCAGCAAACTTAATGTCACTTTTTACCACCTAGTTTATAAAATCAGTTACATCACTTTCCCCTCTCAAAACATATTAACTGAGCCCTGGTCAGAGTAGCTCAGTTGGTTACAGCGTCATTCATCCCAATATACCAAGCTTGTGGGTTTGATCCCCACTCAGGGCACATATAAGAATCAACCAGTGAATGCAT